CAGGAGTCATCTACAACATACAGTGTAAGGACTGTAACAACACATGGACAGGCTTAACCATAGTTTCAATTGGGAAACTGTCAGCATCTTAGACCAGGCTAAATCCAAAAATGTGAGGGAATTCTTGAAAGCTTGGTATTCAGACAAGGCAGCCATCCACAGGCACATGGAGGTAAACAACATCTCCACACTATTCAAAAGAGACAATAGAAAGGAAAACAAAAGACCAGAACATCTCCTCACCAGCAATCGTCACCCAGATAAGCAGAGATTAATACCAAGATTTCCACCAGACATACAATTAGTAAACAATACTCTAATCAAGGAACTACCAGAGGGGGAAAAAATAAAACAAGACAAAACCCACACCCACACCAACACTGTATATAAACAGAGAGCAAACCCCACTCCATTCTAGCACTGAAGATGTTACCTAGCCGGGTAATTAAACATTTGCAAGAAAACAACCAAGCTCAGAGAACCCCAAGGACTCCACAAAGTCACGGTTGGGCCCCCTTATAATGCATGATATGGGATTCACGCTACAGATTAAGCCAAACTAAACCAACCACATTGCAGATGAATATATTGTGTGTAAATTATGGCTATAAGATCTAGAGTGCAACATTTTGGATGACCACTAGATAGCAGTAAGGAGTTACAGAGAACTCTCTTGTCTTCTAGTGGTCTATCCAGATTTTACAGTCCAGATCTGATACCCGTAATATAAAATAATTGAATGAAATAAAATCTCTATCCAGAGAATCAATATAATCTATTTACTGGCAGCAAGCGTACCCTTGAGGCAGTAAAGAGGAAAAATGCTTTTGTGTGTTTTTTTTACTCTCAGCAAAAAGGAATAGGAAATAAAAATGAAAAAGTAGCACAGTCTGTGAGGTCTACCTCAAAGGATAAAAGATAGCACCAAAACTCCTGGGAGTTTCTTTAGCTACAGGGTAAGAACTAACTTGACAGAACAGGGCCTCCTTCATGGCTACACCTATATTATAGAATACTTTTCTCTCTGAAATATTTCTTTTCTCTCTCTCTCTCTCTCTCTCTCTCTCAATCTCTCAATCTCTCAGGGTCTTTTGTTTGTGAAGACATACCTATTGTGGTACGCTTTCTCCCCCATAGTACTGGTCTCATTTAAAGAGCTTGTCTTTCTTACTGTATTTTAAAACAATCAATTTTTATAATGTATTGTGTGGTTTTAAATTGCGAGTTGTCCCCACTGGAGGGGTAGCATGAGAAATGTAGGAAATCAATTTCTAGATAGGTAGGTATAATCTAAATCCCGGGACAGAACAAGGCAGTCTGTTTGAAAAGTCCTCCTTCCATGTCTGCCTTAGAAATTTTCTTTTTCCCTCAACCCAATCATTACCCAGATTCCAGAAGCCTTAGAAAAAACAGACAAGATGCTAAATTAGCATGAGGGAAAACAAAATGGCCTTATACTAGGCTAGAAATTACATACCTTAATTTCTCAGTAAAGCTCTCACCCAAATCACATACTGATAAGAATTGCTCTGTGAGATTTTTTTCTTTTTCTTTTTTGGTGTTGGCTAAGTGTGGGTGAGGAATGTAGCTGTCTTGTGAATTAAGTCGGTAGCAGAGAGAGTTTTCTCTTGAAGGTGCCAGATTTTACAAATTATGTTTTGATTGAGCATGGCGCACTAATGAATTTGTCAGATTAAGTGCTGTTCATAGATAGGGGCATTGTAGGTATAAACCATCTCTCACATGTTTTAAAACATCCCACAATAGAGCAATATGCATATCTTATAACATAATGGAATCTACATTCCAGCTGTAAGCTACTTTGGACTGGGAAAAAAAAAATTAGGATCTACCCTTGCTGTTATTGTAACCAGTGGTTACTAGTCACTGTTGGGTAAGAAGATACCAGTAGAATGTCTATATTTTGTTTTTTCTCCCCAGTATTAGAATCCATTATTGATACTGTTTCTTCACTGAGCAGTTGCAAACCTTTTATACCAACAGCAGATTTAGGTGGTGAATTTTGACAGCCATATAGCTCATTTTGTTAAGGAGGGAATGGGGTAGGATGTTTTGAAATAGGACACGGCTGGCTGGCTGGCTGGCAAACCAAATGCGAACATTCTCTTCTGCAGTATTTTTGTTTAGGCCCCTCTTAAACTCAATGTTGTGAGATACACCTATTTTGCACACATTAATTCATGCTACTCTAAGTATTTTATAGTTATCTGGAGCTTCCTGGTACAAAAGTAGACCAAGCGTGCTCGCTTGCTTCTAAAACATTTCCTGCCTTTGGAAAATGATGTTGCTTTTGAAA